ATTTTTATTCTTCATGAAAGAAAAATAAAAGTAAAGAACAACGTAGAAGTATATTTGCGTATATATATATATAACTTACAATTTGTTATTGTATAAATCGAAATGCAAAATTTAAAAAAAGAATGAAGAAAATACAATTCGACATACTATATTTATTTGTCAAAAAATAATTTATTGTGTTTGAGACAAAACAAAAAAATATTATTTGTTTTTTAACTTTTAAATCATATTTATAAAGTCATCAAGATTATTTTTTTTTCTCACACTCATTGATTTTAAGGATATGTTAGCTGATTTTTCTATAAAATCTATCGATTCAATAAAATTGTTAACAGTGAATTTGACTCAAATATTTACATGAGAAGTTTCTCGCTTTTGCCAACAAAAACTAGAGTTGGCTAGGACATTCCTTTAAGAAATTTTTGAGTATAGACTCATTAAATTGATATTGTTGTCTGTTAGATCGAATATCAACAAACTACTCTTATATGTTCGGTTTATAATTACGAATAGAGAGCAGACAGTTATTAATTTCGTCTGTAAAAGATCATACTTCGAATGAATCTCTCGTCATCTGTTATCAATCTACTTTCATTCTTTGAAATTAATTAGAAGTTTTTTGTTTTTTTTTTCTTGAAACTATACTAAATCATAAAAATATTTACCTTAATAGTAAATGAATGCAATGTTTAGAATGATCAATTAAAAAAACAAGTCGTCATTATCGACATATATGAAAAAACAAAGAAACCCTTTTTATGTGTAGAAGAATTTCATTTGATTGAGTGGCTTTTTCTTTTCTTTTAATTTTAGATCTATATTTATAAAAAACAAGCAAACTAATACCATCAATACTTCTTTCCATTCAACAACAAAAAAAAACACAATAATAAACGAAAACGAACACACCAGAACTTCATAAAATGATGTATTAAATTGAAGAACTCAAGTAATATTATACATATAGTTATACCTGTTCATTCATTAATCATGTACCAATGAAAAGAAAAAACTTTTTTCTTTTTCATTTGAAAAATTTCTGTTATCTAGTGCCCTCTACATTTTCTTTGAACACTGACTATTTTAGATTTTTAATGTATTCATACCTTTGCTGTTGTTACTATCGTTTTCTCAGAAAAAAAAATTTCATTTGCTGAAAGTTTCACATGAATTATATATTCAGACTCGCAAGGAAATTAATCCAAACAGTGCTCTATTTAGTTTCGTTTAGCTCAATCAAGGATGTAGGTGTTGGTCACATACACATCATTTTCTCATATAGTTCAGTAATGACATCATGAGTTTTATTAGCTCTGTTGCCACTAAGCAGCCAAACAATGTAAACAAGTGGGGTCGAATAAAAAAAAAACGTTTGATAAAAACGAAACCGCACTTTATTTGATATTCTAAATGTTGCTTCGCTTACGGTACATAGTAAAGTAAATGTTATTTTCGATTTAAAGATAGAAACTTTAAATGTACTCATGTCTAAGTTCTGTCAAATAAAATTCTTCTCAAATTATTGCGTATAAGTTATCAATGCTATTATCATCTATAAAGCAAGGAAATTGAGGCTTGTCTGATTGGTGAAAGTAAATATTTGATTTCCTTAAGGAATTTATTAAGTGAGTTTTTTTGCACTTATTTCTCAATGCCTAGATTAATTTTCTAATTTTCAAATGATTATATTTATTAATTAACTATAAATCTTGAACTAAATCAATGAAAATTAAATACATTCTTTTGCTTCTGAAAATCATATAAGATGTGTGATCCGAAATATTTCTTTTGTAAGACATACTCTACAACAATATTCACTTATGAAACATGTTGCTTTATAGAATCTTCGACATCAAATATGATTGAGAGTGTTTAATTGTAATAGAAACAGATAGAAAATGATATCATTTTATGGTACAGTTCATATAACTATGAATACTTTTAGTGTATTGTAGGAAAGGTATATTCTTTCTTCCGATTAGTAAATTATAAACAAGATCTGTTTCGTTAAAAGAAATATCTCTCTTATATTAGAAATGTTCATTGCAGCTGAAAATCAGCTGCTGTCACGACTGCATGAGAAAATAGCAGCTCACAAAATTTTCATTGTTCTCTAGACTCGATTATGTTTATTTCTTAGCAACTGTTGGAAGGATCTAAAGGACATTGTGAAGTTTCATTCAGAATCCTTTCTAGAATTTATTTAAATTTTCCTGCTCAAAATTTTTTCCAAATTAACAATCGAGACTGCTTTCAGAATTCACTTAAGACTCTTCGTTGGATCCTTTAATGCATTATACATAGGATACTGTGAAGATTTGATCAATTTATAGTCGGCATCTGTTTTGAATACTGATATGACGGTCTAATCAAAAACTGGAGTAGAAGTCGATTTATGATTCTTACAAATCCTATAATACATGTCAATCATATATTTTATCCCATCTTATTTTTGGAAATTATTCTACGTCACCTGTGTATTTTTCCACATATAGCCAAATCAAAAAGTATTGGAACGCTTAAGATCGCCTTTTATTTTCTTTAAAGCGACTTTGGTCTATGCATATGTAAATTGCACGAAACTTTCAGAATATTTTGGAACTAATGCAGCGGCTAGAGATGGAAAAATCGCCCCGCGCTGCTATTCGCGCCTACGCACCACGCATACCTCTTTTTCTTTTTGCTCTACGAATTATTTTCTCAAAGTTCACCGAACATCGGGAAGCTGTGAGCACGCGCTTCTCGAAGTTCACAGTAATGTAGAGTAGGCGTGAGCAGCGGTGTGGAGCGTTTTCTTTTTCATCTTTGTTTTGGGTTGTCAAATCTTTCACTGTTGACCGTTTACTTGGTGAATATCTCCCTTAAACATCACAATATTGGACCGAAAATTTCATGCATTTTACATGCGCATAAATCAAAATCGCTTTGAGGAAAGGTGGAGATTGTCTTAAGTGTTTCAATACTTTTTGGTTTGACTGTAGAAAAAAAGGAAAGATGTTGCATGGTATGCATTGAATTTAAATCTTCTTAAAACAACATGAAGTATTGGTCACAATGGATTGTATCACGATTATTTAACTAAACAAAATATTTATTATATTTTGTTTATTTACAGTAGAATATCTATGAATATAAAGTAAACGTTGATTGAAAAAATACCAGTAAAACATTTGCTATCAGCATATGAACATAATAGCCAATAATTTGTAAAAGACTGCTTTTGCTGAATTTTAAGTTTTTGATCTGATAACCCTGATGTGATCATGCCATCACCCCTACAAGAGGTTATCACGGAATCTGTGCATGATTAAGACAATGACCGATTCCTTTCAGGATAATCAATGCCATGAATCTGATTATAGTCGAATAGTTTCATTTTTTTTTGTTTAATTTTATTCAGATTTGAGCAAAGCCCATTGCTTTTTATCAGCTATGAACTTATTTATAATCAACAAGAAGCATCTAATCGAAATGAAATGCAAGACTAAGAACTAAGTTCATGTATTATAACAAGTGAATTTTTCATTTATAGAACCTAGTATTCTATCTAGTATTGTGGCTATTGATTAATCTTCGACAATCTAATTTATTGTCACTTCAACTGAAAGCAAAACATGAACAAGTGTATTTCGTGCATTCAATTGATTTTTCTACTCAAGCCTTGCTCGAATGACGGTCTAGTTAATGTGAGCATCCAGATGTATGCATGTGGTACAGGTCCGAGAACATAAATGTGAAGAATAGTGGTGAATAGAACCGGCAAATATATGCCTTAGAATAATGCAAATTTGTACTTAAAAAGACGATGAACAAACACCAATAATGATTTGAATATCTTTCTAAAATAATCATCATAGATGGTATCAATTCATCATTATAAAATCAATAATTATTCGAGATGAATAATACATATTTATATCATAGGTATGAGTGTAAATATTGATGCCGGCCAACCATACTCACATCCCTCGTACACGATTTCTCATAGTTTGTACATAAGAACACACGAAATAAGTTTAAGTTCTACTCGTGGCAGCTGACACGTGTTTGACTGCCATCTTTACTCTATTTTCGAAGCTAAATCTCGTCTGCAGATATTGATCGTAATTCAATCATTGATACAACCCATTGAATATATTCTTAGTCAATTTATATCATTTGGATAAAAAAGATGGCATTAGTAGGTGCTTTTACAAATGTAATCTTGATGGATACACAAATCGACGGACAAAAAAAAATCTAATTACTGCTTTTTAGAGACTATTCTTCCAGTGAAGAGAAAAAGTACGATAAAAAAAAGAAATTAATCAAAAGAAAATCAGCGTTAGAAAGGTTATTGTTTTGCTCGTTTGTCTATTAAGTGGTGTAATCGATGTAAAATTTTGTGCTCTACATACAGTTTGCAAAAACATTCTTGATTCATCGTCACATTATAGTTTTAAAACTTGGTTTTTATTGATCATAGTGAATAATGGTATTTAAAAATCAGGCATGCAATCAGTCTCAACATAAACTATTGCTTGAGAAGGAACGCTAGAAATTGAGCAAAACAATAGAAGTTTTGTGTAAAAACATTCTGTTCAAGTTTCAAATTTTTTAATTTATATTCATTTTGTGAAGAATTCTTAGCGTATTACGTAGTTTTTTCGGTGACCGTACAATTCGTCGCGAACAATTCGTCGCACGATCAATTCGTCGCGTTCTGTTCGTCGCAGAACAATTTCTTTCGTTCTGTTTATCCTTATCTACTTTATCCCTTCCTCTTAATTAATTCTTTTTTTTTCAGAAACGTGAAATTGACCAATTAATTCATCTTTATTTAGCGTGGTATATACATAACATAAGGATGAACAAGTTGAGAATAAAAAAAAAGAAAACGAAAAAACAAAAAAAAAGAAAAAACAAGAAAAAGAACAAGAAAAACACAAATGAACGAATAATCTTAAGGGAACCAATAATCTAAACAGAAAAAAAAATTAATTAAAGAAAAAAAAACTTACCTACATAGTAACATTGGCTGCCATATTTGTTAAGAATTGGTCCAGTTGAGATGAATCGTAAGCATTGACCAGTCGAGTAATACGTTCGTCCAATCTTCGATAACATGCTTTCTTCGTCTTGATATCATGACCTTGAAGAATCTTCGCTATATCAACTTCGAATTTGGATTGTTCACGACGAATTTTCTCTGTTAACTTGATAATCGTTGGATGACTAATTGAGACACGATTGGCAAATGCATTATGCCAGCCTTCCACCGAATTGTTTGAACGAGGTACAGCAGCGGTAACTCGATCATGAATATTCCATAATTTGTGATCAAAAAGAGGCTTCTTTCGACCAGTTCCTATGAATGTCAAATGCATTTCAATTTTTTTAAGAAATAAAAAAAAATTACCTCTTCTTTTTGGTTCACCAATCCAAGTTTTTTCAAAATATTCAAGTAGATCGTCGGCCTCTTCATCGAATTCATCGACAATTAAGTTAAATGCAGTTGTGATGTCATCTACTGGAAGAAAAGCAAGAGCAATTAACTTTTTTATTTTTAAACGAAAGGACTCATCTTCTCTATATTTTGTGACCAATCCTTTGTTTTGAACTTGTCGCCATACCGCTTGTGAAAAATGAAAGAGACATCCTATAACAAACGTTTTAATTATTCTTTTTTTTCTTTGAATAGGTTATAACATACCCTTGTGTAGAACGTTAGGTAACATCTCTTTGACTGATTTGATTGTGCCGCCTTCGTAATCAGTCATAACCGATTCAGGTTGAAAATTGTCTTGTTCGAATAATTTTTCAAAAAATTGATTGTAATCATCGTTGCTCTTACCAATTAACAATCCATAGACGAGAGGAATAATTGCATTCGTCATCATTGCGTGTAATGTAAAAAGTTGATAATAATCATCCGGACATACCTTCATCAAAGATAATTAGAAAACAGAGATAGACATTTAATTAATAGCTCACCTTAAATGTTCCGTCAGCGAACCAATGTTTGTTTTGTTTCAGAATTGATAAATTAGTTTTTGTTGTGAAGATAATTAAATGTTCATCTTCGTGTAAGATGAAATCTTCACTACGATATGTCTTCTTTAAATTTTCTGGTAAACGACCATCAGCATCGACTGTTTCAACAGTTCGTTGTCGTCGGATTGTGAGAATAAGTGTGTCATTTTTTGGAAGTGTACCAACAGCACTTAGAGGGTATGTTCGGAAGGCCGAATGAAGAATTGAGCTGGTAGATTCATCTGTCGTCGCAGCACGAGCTTTAATTTCGTTCTGTAATTGAATAGCCGGAATACGATCAGGTTGGGGAGCATGAGAATGTGATGTTGGTTGGGAAAGAAATGCGTCCATGGATAAATTGGTGTGACAACGTGCTTAATTGATGGATCATTCTTGTGTGAATTAATTAACTAATAATGTTCAAAGTGAACTTACCTTTACAATCACGATTTTGGCATCGAAAAATTAATTTCGTTGTTGTGGTACGTTCTACAGTGTAGGTATAACTTTCATGAAGAAGCATTGGTTTTCCTTTTTCAGTGATAAGCTTTTGCATTTGAGACATTTTTTAGAATTGTTGTGCGCAGTAAATGTTGAGATTGAGAAATGAGATATTTTTTCAACATCATCAACTTATATTTTTTTTCTTTCGATCACATAATTAAGAATATTGGATCAGAGTTATCGTTGGCCTCGATTCTGTAGAAATTTATTCGTTGTCTGACAAATCTAATTATTCTGCGTTTGCATTTACTTTATTATGACTATATTTCGTTAACATTTTTTTATTGATCCGTTTTCCCAATTAAACTCATTAACTTTCGTATTATGCTCTATTTCAATGAGTTGCACAGACAAAAGTTTAATTAACACAGATACAACAAATTGGTCGCAACATGTTCTTTTTCGTGTTGAACAGAACGAAAGAAATTGTTCTGCGACGAACAGAACAAAAAAATTCTGCGACGAACAGAACAGAAAAAATTCTGCGACGAACAGAACGCGACAAATTGTCGTGCGACGAATTGATCATGCGACGAATTGTTCGCGACGAATTGTACGCGACGAATTGTCGTGCGACGAATTGTACTAGTGCCGTTTTTTCTTTGAAGAACGTTTGCCTACATACGCCGACGAAACGATTGCAAAACTTTTTTTGCGAACAACACTTGAAATCGGTAATTATTAGTGACATTTTGATTTACATTCAACGTTGAAAAATAGCTATCGAAGAATTTGTAATAGTCATTCGTCTTGGAAAAATATTAGTCTAGTTGTTCGTGTCACTTAAAGAACGTCTCGTGTTTCGCTCAACACTCTGCCAAACACGTATAAGGAAAGTGCTGTTATTGAAACTGAGTGATAACGATCAATTTATGAAAAATTCTGATTTGTTAAACGTTATGCCTGACTTGTCAGTTTACATAGGCTCAGTCAACAATTCTGATTTCTATAAGATAAATACTAGAAGACGTGGTGATTCTTTTTGTATCCATCAAATCTTAAAAAGGCCTTATATTGATTATCTTTGATCTAAAACAAAATCGCACTAATAGTTTTTTTCGGCAACTATATCTTTCCAGAAAATAATTCAGAACAGGATACTGAAACTGCTTCTGAAAAACCTTTAAAAAAAATCTTGAAGCAAGAAATGGATAGAACTTGAAACAGAATTCTGATTAAAATATAGCAAGGTCCTTATAAATTGAAAAAGTCACTGATCCTTCCAGATTTCCTTCAAGAAGGATCAGAAATGAGATAAGGGAAAGAAAGAAAACTGATGAAGAGAATGCATAAAAACAAAAGAAAGGCAGCATGATAGATTTTTATTGAAACTCTTTCGTTCTGTTGCTATTAAGCTATTTTGTGTTCGTGTAAGAGCTTTTATGTTTTTATAGAGAATCTTGCTTGTGTGCCAGAATAGAATAATAATATTTTTTCTTACCTCCATGACATTTCTTTTTGCAGAGAAGTGGAAGTTTGTTTACCATCCATCACTTAGTAGCTGGTAATTTTTTCTTGGAAACGGGGGGGGGGGGGGGGGGGGGGGTCGGCCATGGTAAAAAAACATTCTCGACAGCGTAAAATTATTTTTATTCTATACTCTATAGTGAATCATTTTCTTAAAGGAAGGGGAGGGGATCTTTTTGCCTTCTTCGCCAGCTACGTTCCTGTCACTCATTATTGAACTGTGTGTGAGAAAATATATTTTAAGACTGAGTTGGAAAAAATTAGTAAGAGAGATTTATGTTATTTTCCTAGGATCATTTGATAACGCACACCTATGGTATTCAGATGGAATGAATGTGAAGTGTAGATGTTCTTAGTACTCACATCCATTTTTACTTGACAAGACATTTGAAAGGTTTTGTTTGCGTTGAATTTCGCATATGGACTTTTTTGCGTAGTATGCATTGAAGAATGGCTTATTCAAGGAATTGTTTACTTTAATTTGAAAATTTTTTCTTGCTGTTTGATGATTTCAAAATTTCTAATGCATGGACAAATACACTTCGACAGTGTAAACCTTTGGTTAACGTCTTCAGAAGGAGTACCAGTAAAATAAGCGCACACTCACGAACACCACATGCTGAAAGAGAATTTGGATCTACTCTAATCGATACATAGTACTAGGTGGGTAAAAATATTATTCCAGGGGGGTAACGCTATGATTTCAAATAGGAATCATAACAAATTTTATACCAAATTAAAGCGCATCGAAAATGGAACTTTTTTATCCTAAATTGTAAGAGTTATCAAAACTTTTTGATGTCGAACTTAAGAAATTTTACAATTTTTTTGGGATAGAAAACTAAGACGTCAGTAATTCAAAAATGGATTTTAGTATTTTCTTTTGATATTTTTACATGGTTCGATAGAGCTTGTCGAGCTCTACAAAACTGAATATATTAAAATTTTTTTAAACTAATTTTCTAAGATAAAAAAAATCAAAAAACCACTTGGAAAATGCTAAAAAATTTTAAAAAACTCATTTTTTTTTCATTTGAGAGAAAAAGACTCGATTTTTCAATAAAAATAGCTTTTTTTCATTATTTTCACTAACAGAGACGTTTCAAAATGTAATCAATAGACGCAGTTGTTCACGCTGTATCTGGCGGTTACATTTTGAAACGTCTCTGTTAGTGAAAATAATGAAAAAAAGCTATTTTTATTGAAAAATCGAGTCTTTTTCTCTCAAATGAAAAAAAAATGAGTTTTTTAAAATTTTTTAGCATTTTCCAAGTGGTTTTTTGATTTTTTTTTATCTTAGAAAACTAGCTTAAAAAAATTTTAATATATTCAGTTTTGTAGAGCTCGACAAGCTCTATCGAACCATGTAAAAATATCAAAAGAAAATACTAAAATCCATTTTTGAATTAGGGGTGAGAAAGTTATTGTTATTTTTTTTGTTATTATAACAATAACATTCATTTTTTGATTCAAAAACATTAATGAAACAAGTGCAAGCATAGTTTGTACGTACGTCAAAAAATCACTTTATTCATACAGTATCTTTATTACCATTTGATATAAGAACCAGCCGTAAAAATTTTGAGAAATCGTAAAATAACTTTTTTTGTTATTATTATACAAAAATAACAATAACAGTAACAATAACAATAACAAGAACAAAAAAAGTTAATTTACGATTTCTCAAAATATTTACGGCTGGTTCTTATATCAAATGGTAATAAAGATACTGTATGAATAAAGTGATTTTTTGACGTACGCACAAACTATGCTTACACTTGTTTCATTAATGTTTTTGAATCAAAAAGTGAATGTTATTGTTATAATAACAAAAAAAATAACAATAACTTTCTCACCCCTATTTTGAATTACTGACGTCTTAGTTTTCTATCCCAAAAAAATTGTAAAATTTCTTAAGTTCGACATCAAAAAGTTTTGATAACTCTTACAATTTAGGATGAAAAAGTTCCATTTTCGATGCGCTTTAATTTGGTATAAAATTTGTTATGATTCCTATTTGAAATCATAGCGTTACCTCCTGGAATAATGTTTTTACCCACCTAGTTACTCATTGAATCATGTCCACCAACACCCACGAACAACTCTTGGAGAGCGTTGCAAAAGAACAGTTCAAGTCACTAATGTCGAATTTTTCCAGTAAATAACTACGAACACCCACAAACACTAGTCCAATACAGATGAAATTCTACGAACACTACTTCACCACACATAAACACTCATGCGGAAATTCTGGACAATAAGAGGGTGTGGGTTCGGGTTCAGGTTAAAGGACACTTCACATCCACATTCACATCTACACCCTGATTAGAGATAATTCTTTGTTGACCGTGTAAGACAACCAGTTGAATATAACAACTGTCTTCATTTTCATGTGAAATAAATCTATCGTGTTTCATATTTTTAGATTGTAGGGAGTGGGCCGAAATCTCTCTTATCTTTGAGTGTGGTATTGTGTTTTCAGTCCCACACCTTCACCCTGTTGGAATTGCGCTGACGACCTTTTTTTTATTTAGAATGAAGTATCGTTTAAGATTCAAAGAAAGGACAGATACATCCTAATCGAACACAAAATTTATATATTAATACTTCTGACATGGAGACAAATGAAGAGGATGACCAATCTCGTATATCAGATGGTCAAACAATCAGCAATCCAGCTGAAAGTAAACAGGTGTGTATTTACAACTTGATTATTGATAGTAATTTTTTTCAAAATTCAATCTTATTCCTAACAGCTATAGTGTTGTTTTCATTAAGATGAAATAGAATAAAATAAATGGCAACCAAGAAAGGATCATTTTTGAAACTAGTCGAAATAAATAGCTCATATACGTTTGATTTCATTTTCACTCAGTTGTTTTTTCTTATTCATCTGCATTTCCAATGAAATAATTCTGTTTAATTTTTAAGCAGCAAATATTAGCAAACAAGGAGAAAATGATCGATGGACAAAAAAATGAAAGAGGAAAAATGGTCAACGATGTTGACATTCAGAATCAGCAAAAAACAGTTACACTTGATGATAGCAGAATCAATAATCGAGAACAAACAGTGTCGGAAAATATCGACATTGAAAACCAACAACCCGTCATTAAATATGAAGTTTCAAAGGCGAATCTTCGATCTGAAGAAAAGAGGAAACAATCGGATGTAGTGATTAATTATGATGAACTACAATTGACCGTCATCGGGGAAGAAACAGTTGATCGAAGACAGATGGCAGGAGCAGTGCATGATACTGGTGGTACAAATAGCAATTCTTGTAGAAAATATACTGAAGAGAACGAATTTATCAATGAAGATGTGCAGTCATCAAAAATGAATGTTGTTGATATTATCGAATCGAACCTTGATCCCAT